AGTACTGAGAGGTGAACAAATTTTGGTGAGTCAACTTTGTCTTCCTTGGTCAAGACGCCAACCTGAAGAACAGTCTGTTTCTCCACTCCAAACAGTTGCTCAGTAGCCATTAAATAATGAGGCCTGACAAAAAAAATTCAGTTGTCCAGGCAACTAGAAACGGGCAACACAGTATGGAGAAACTAAGAAACTCAATTTGTTAAGAGAAAAGTCAAAAAAAGGTTTTATTTAAAAGTAGTGGGGCCCACCACTTTATCAAACCATAGTATTGCCTGCCATATTTAACTTGGTTCCAAGATAAGCCAAGATTAGCCACAGAAAAATAGATTAATGAAAAAGTCAACAAAGGCTTATTTAAATAGATAGTGAGGTCCACAACTTCGAACAAAATTTGATGCATTTTTTTGAAGAAGTTACGGAAATATGGAGAATGAAGGATTAAATGGAATATGGGTCCACACGTTTAATTTGAAAATCATGGATGTGTGTATGTATATATATATCAAATGAGTGGTGGCCCATCACTTTATGAAAATATTACAATATTTTGACAAACAGTTGAGGAAAAGACCTCAGCATCGGTATAGTTGCGGTGACTAATGGTTGGTTTTTTTTTTTTTGGAAGTACTGATTCACTATGATTTTTGAGATGGTCGGAGATCAAAATTTTTGAGGGCAATAATGAGTCTCTTTATTGACGATTTTCGGGACTCCATAGCAGTTAAGGTTTTCGAGGAAAATAATGGGCTATTTTAACGACAATTTTCACCACTCAATGGTAGTCAAAGTTTTCTATCCGCAGTGGTACAAGGACATAGAGATACACCTCAAAAATTTGCACAAGGACAAAAATACACAAGTCTTCGCGACTATTATGCATGCAAAACCTGTCAAAAGAAGGTTCATGTATGCAGGGGGCAACTAACCACGACAATGTTTTTGGCAATAGAGAAATGACGGCGAAAGACTTAGGCCAATTTTATGAAAAAAAATTTAGTCATCAACACCATGGTCAGCTCACAAATAATAGTTACAATCAAACAACAAGTGAAAACAAAACAAATGGTATGCACGCACAGGACGCTTCCTACGACCTGGAGCGTGTAGGGGGCAAATGTAATACCCGAAAACTTCAAGACACGTGTCTACACTATAACAGGACAAGTGAAAATAATTATTAGTTGACATGAAAATGGGGCCCGACAGAGTCCAGCTGGACTAGTATAGATAACAATGTCATGTGTGATACCTAAGGCACGACAGTAATGCGCGACACCTAAGGTGCAACGCCCCTGGCCACGACCCCCCTAGGTGCGACGCTCTCAGGCACAACATTGCAATAGGGCGATATACATCCCCAGCGCATTAGAAGTGGAAAAGGGGACCCTTCACCAAGGGTGGACAAAAGTGAAATCGCGAAAATATGGGGCAACCTCGGCGAAACTCGTCTCCCCCACTACGGGAGTGGTATCCTCAACCTATTGGATACCATTGCTCGACTGCCCCACTAGACTAAGAGGAGATATCTCCACCTAGGGACATGGAAGTATGGCCCTCCTCAAAGGAGAACTGAGCAATAGGGGTGGACAAGCACGATTGTCAACCATGGCTTTGGCCAGGGTCTCAAAGGTTTAGTCTGCTCGAGCAGGCCTCCCAATGTATGGCTCATTGCCCACTAGGATGTGCTTGACTGGGATCCAGAGAGACTCCTAAGGTAACTAGGGTTATTGGTCCAGATCAGCATATACGATGATGGGACATGTGAATTGGTGGCTAAAAGACCAAAACTATGTGAATTTCTTTTATCGGGCACCTCGACAAAAGCCTCGAGGAAGGGTCTAGAGAGGAAAAAATGGACCCTGGGTTGGAGCATGTTGGGGGCATCGCGGGCATCTCCTCTTGAGTTTATGGTCCCACGGTGACCAGTCGCGATCATGGACCTTGGGAGCCCTCTCTGACCTTGGCTATCACACCTTCCTCGGGGTCACGTCCAGGTTGCGTTTGGGAAAACATTACATCTGCCTAATTAATGTTGGGACATATGGTTCACCGTTAACGATCATTGGTATCGTGGCGGTCGAGGTAGTTGTGGGTTAGCATGAGTGGTAGGGGGTCGTGGCTGGTAGCCCTTTGGGCAGCCCGACTTGCCCAAGCATCGTACTATAAATACTCACATTACTTGTCCACTGCGGAGAATGATCTTCTAGCTGGTAAGAGCATATTTCACCTACCCTCTGCCCAACTAGTTGGTCCTTTCATTAACAGGCTGCTCGAGTTTCTTCCAACCCATCCACTTATCCTACTTACCTCCTTCGATTACACTTGACATAGACACGTGTATCAACCTCTTTTAACTCCCCACCTACAAACAGATAATCTTCTCTAAAAAAAAATATAAGCCTAACTCTAAAAACTGGTAACTTACCAAAAAGTTGTAACCTTGTCCCAAAACATACTAATCAAACCTTATATATGTAAAAATTTGATCATTAATGAATTTAAGTTTATTGACAAAATTTTGTTAATCCGAATCGAATTTATTTATAGTAATGGTCCTACTGTGTATTTTCTTTTTTTAAAAAAATATTTCATTATCTTTTTTCCTCAACTAATTAATTTAAACCATAATTTGTTTAGATTAATGGTTTTACGATTCATCTTTTCTTTTTTTTTTTTTAATTGTATTACTAGGTAACCGTTAAAAGGTTAGATATCTCATCAACGGTTTTAAATGATTTGTGATGGATCAATAACACTTGTTGATTTAGCAGCACGGTACCAAAATGTAGATGAACCATAAAAACTATGGTAGATTAGAAAACAAATGATAATATTTCACCTTACCTCCTTGTAGTTTGGTGTTCTTGCAAATCACCTCCACATCCTTCTAAAATAGTAAATAACCACTCCCCCCCCCCCCCCCCCCCCCCCCGGGCGGGCAGTTAATAGACTAAAGTCATGTAACATTTTAGGACAATTACACTCAGACCCTTTAAAATTTGTCATTTAATCAAACAAATTACCTCATATTTGAAAAATTACACTGAAATCACTTGAAATATGTATGCGTGTAACATATATTACCCTTATCATCAAGATCCGTTAAACATACCATTAAAATTTGATCACATCAATATCCCTTTTATATAAAAGGGCAAGGGCAAAATCCAATTTACCCCCTTGTGATTTGGTCGTTGTGCACATCACCTCCTTGTGATTCAAAAATTAGCACATAACCTCCTTGTGTTTTTAGACTAAAGTGCGACCGTTACTATTTTTGTCAAAAGTGACACAAATTGTAACACACGCGCTAGATTTGAAAGTATGAATGTAAAAAATTTAAGTGAAAGTCAAAGCTCAATTTAAAAGTCCAAATATACATTTGTGATCTTTCAAAAATACATTTTTTTATTTTCTTCTACATTTCACTGTTAGAAAAAAAAATATTAAATTTTTCATCTTCATTCTACATTTTTCCGTCTCTATGCCTCTCTAGTTCTCGCCTCCTCCTCCTCTCTCTCTCTCTCGTAATTGTTCTTGTGGTTTTTGGTGGGGATGGTGGAGGTTTTTCAATGGATTTGGGCGTGGGTTTCAGGAGCTGTTGGGAGTGAGTTTTCGGGACTGTTGGGAGTCGATTTTTGGGGGTTTGGGGTGGGTTTTCAGGGGGGTGTTAGGTGGGTTTCAGGGAGTTAGGGATGAGTTTCAAGTATGGCGTTGGGGGTGGAAGTTTCGGTGGTGTTGGGTTGTTGTTGGTGGGGGTAGGTTTTCGATATGGGTGGTTGATGGTGGGTGGATTACAAGGGGTTTGGGGTGGGTTTTCAGGGGGTGTTGGGTGGGTTTCAGGGGGTTAGAAATGAGTTTCAGGAGTGGCGTTGGGGGTGGGAGTTTCAGTGGTGTTGGGTTGTTCTTGGTGGGGGTGGATTTTCGATATGGGTGGTTGATGGTGGGTGGATTACAAGGGGTTTGGGGTGGGGTTTCAGGGGGTTAGAGATGAGTTTCAGGAGTGGCGTTGGGGGTGGGAGTTTCAGTGGTGTTGGGTTGTTCTTGGTGGGGGGTGGATTTTCGATATGGGTGGTTGGTGGTGGGTGGATTGCAAGGGGTTTGAAAGGTGGATTTGTGGTGGGGTTAGATGGTTGCTGGTGGTAGGATTAAGTGGTGTTGGGTGGTTTTTTAGGTGTGGTATTAGGGGTGGGGGTTTAGGTTGTGTTGGGTTATTGTTGGTGGGGGGTGGGTTTTTGGTATGGGTGGTTGGTGGTGGATGGATTGCAAGGAGTTTGGGGGGTGGGTTTGTGGTGGGATTAGGTGGTTGGTGGTGGTGGGATTAAGTGGTGTTGGGTGATTTTTCAGGGGGGTATTGGGTGATTTTTCAGGTGTGGCGTTGGGGGTGGGAGTTTCGGTGGTGTTTGGTTGTTGTTGGTGGGGGTGGGTTTTCGGTATGGGTGGTTGGTGGTGTGAGGATTGCAAAGGGTTTGTGGGGTGGGTTTGTGGTGGGGTTAAGTGGTTACTGGTGGTGGGATTAAGTGGTGTTGAGTGGTTGATTTTGGGTAAAATCCCAAACATGTTTTTTATTTTTGTTTTCTTAATTTTTTAAATATAAAATAATTATTAAACATGTTTTATATTTTTTAATTTTTATCACAAAAAAATAAAAATTAGTCTTTTGCAACCATGATATGATTTAGTGGTGATAGTCAATGACCAATAATTCAGTGGAGAGTTGAACAGTATGTGAAGATGCATTGGAGTTGGAGAAGATGTGGTGGCAAAGTTTATTCAATTTGAAGGAGAGCAAGGTGGCCTTTTTGCCATTACCGTTAACGGTGTTAGCTACGCACTTTAGTCCAAAAATACAAAGGAGCTATGTACTGATTTTTGAATCACAAGGAGGTGATGTGCACAAGGACCAAACTATAAGGGAGTAAATTGAATTTTGCCCTATATAAAATTCTCAAAGTAACCTATCACTATTTCAACAAAAATTCAATAAAAATTAATAATTTTTAATTTTCAATTAAAATCCCAATACCAATATCCAAACCCGCAGCCATCGCCCACTCTCCTCTCCTTCTACCACAGCATGTTAGAACCACCACCACAACACTGCCACAGCCACCGCCAACACCATTTCCAGCAGCGCCATCGCCATCACCATCACCATCACCATCACAGGTATGGTTTTCCTCCCTTCTCTCTGCTACACCCAATCCCAGATCCCAAAATCCCCCTAAATCTGAAATACCCTTAAATTTGAGAATTTATCAGCCCTAATTCTCTGTCAAACACTTCCTTTCACCACCATTTTTCCAACCACCACCTTCCGCCTCTCATCGCCATTGTTTACCTAACCACCACACCCTCCTCTCATTGCCACCGTTTACCCAGCCACCAACCTCATCTCATCGCCACTGTTTACCCGGCCATCACTGCCCTCCTCTCATCGTCCTTTACCAAACAACATAATCTCTCTCTCTCTCTCTCTCTCTCTCTCTCTCTCTCTCTCTCTCTCTCTCTCTCAGATAATAAAATAACCTTGCAACTCCCTAAACATCAAATTTGGCCTGGAAATCGACCACCAAGGCTTTAACCCCAAAATCCACACCGAACTTTGCAAATCCACAATAACCCCCAACACTCCAAACTCATATTTTCGCCTTTAATTCAGGTGTCGTTGATGGTTTCAATGTCCCAACACACAGCACATTTGTATTAAAACATACATGAGCAATGATTTTGCTTTAGAAAGAGGGCTATAGCGAGCGGAGGGAGGGATGTTAGGAAGATAGTGGGGTTGCAGCAGGTGGGTAGGAATGGACGATAGGTTTCAATAGGAAAGGTGTGGTGGGCGTAACGGTTTTGCAACGGGTGGGAGCGAAGGTTGACAGTAGCAATTTTGCAGGTTTTGGGTGGTCGATTGGTTGGTAGCAATCAGTGGGGACAAAGGGTGACAATGTTGGTTTTGGGTGGTTATGGGCGGTTAATTGGCTGCAATCAGTGATGGTGATTAGATTTGGATAAAAGTATTGCATAGGAGAAAAAGAGACAGAGAGATTTTATTGGGTTGATCGGGTCGGTTGATTTGGATTTTAGGGTATGCGTTAGGTTTTTTTTTATATTTTTCTAGCACAAGAGTCTGCTTCACATTTAATCCCATAACCAAAGAAACTAAAATAATCTAAGTGATGGCTCCTTATTAGCCATTACCTAGAAGTTCTTAGTTCTGTTTTCTCTATAGACATCTAATTGTTTCGCTGGGTCGTCGATCCGTACGAATTTAAATAATTATTGTACGAATATATTTGTTAGGTTATCTTGGATCTATACCTAAAGGACACAGACATATCTAATTGTTGAATTTCTTTACTCACATGAGTTATTGTCCAGGACAAACTGATGAATATATGAGCATGCTCTTATGGTTATGGGGTGTTCCAATAGCAACACTAGTTTAATGAGGCTGGAAAAAACACTGAAAGTAGACTCTATAAACTAGACAATAGGTGTCATTCACATTAAGTCTCAATTGTATAAAAAATGATATGTAGAAAAGCTTAATACTAGCAAGTGTATAACTACAGTTATATCTTGGTTGTATGGTTTCTTATACTAATAATTAGGTAGAACCAGTATCTAGAGCACCCATGATTTTGAAGTCTTAATTTTTAAATCTCTACATGAGTTATGCAGAGAATGGTGTCCCTGTTTTAGTTCATCTGTCTTTTTCTTAGAATGCCTTTGTGTATCAGTATAACCTTTGGAGGCAGTTTGAATTTACATTGTGTTGATTTTCTTGATATCTAAATATGTGAGGAATACATAATACAAGAATCATTCTAAGTTTGAAAATCTTAATTAAACATATATATACTAACAATTGTCTCATTGCTTGTGCCTGAAAGAATGGTGTTGCTCATAAATTAGTTATAAATATTTGCCCAAACATAAATGTAAAGTAAAATACAACATTGTAGTAAACGACGAACAAAATGAGTCTGCTAATATTTTTTAGAACATCAACCTACATGCATAGCATATATTTTCACATTAAATTGTTACGTCATGAAAATTATGTCATAATTATTGAAACATAATAATTTAAACATTTGAAAAAATATATCAGTTGACATTATTCATTGTTCTTATTTTGATTCAAAGTCTACGATTTTAACATTTATAATCAATTTTATCTAAGTAATAACATAATTTATAACTAATAGAATGAAAATTAAAACAATACTCTCACAAATAAACTAAGTCTGCAGATGTTATCAAATGACCAAATATAACTATCAGAAATTCAATCGACTTCCAATAGATACAACCTGATTATTGAATTTGTATAATTCGAGTTTATAGTAATGTTTTTAATTTTATATTATTTTTCTTGGTTATTTATATTCTTAATGTATTTTCTTAAACTAAACGTTATTTAGTATTAGATTATTTAGTAAAGATTATTGTTTTATATTGTTCATTAAATATTGAATTTGAATGATTTGTGTTTATAGTATTGCTTATAATTTTGTATCGATTCTCTCGTTTGTAATTTTGTATAATTTTTCTCGGGTAGTTAGATTTGGATTATTTAATAAATATTGTTATTTTGTGTTGTTCACTAAATATTGAATTTGTATGATTCGTGTTTGTATATGAATTCAATCTTGTATATTTTAAATGTTAAGCATATTTTATTTAATATATCTCTTGATATCTGAGTTGTTCAATAACTTGAATTTAATCTTGTATATTTTACATATTAAGCATATTTTCTTTGTTAAATTAGATTTTTTGTAATTTATTTTTTTTTATTGATTATGGAAAAAATAAAATTGACTATTGAATTTATATGATTCAAGTTCATAATAGTGCTTTTAATTTTATATTTTTTTTTTGGTTATTTATATTTTTAGTATATTTTCTTAAATTAAACATTATTTAGTACTGGATTATTTAGTAAAGATTGTTGATTCGTGTTATTCACTAAATATTAAATTTGTATGATTCGTGTTCATAGTATTGCTTATACTTTTGTATTGCTTCTCTCGCTTGTAATTTTGTATCATTTTTATCGGGTATTTAGATTTAAATTATTTAGTAAATATTATTTCTTTGTGTTTCTTACTAAATATTTAATTTGTATGATTCGTGTTTGTATATGAATTTAATTTTGTATATTTTAAATGTTAAACATATTTTCTTTAATATATTTCTTGATATCTGAGTTGCAAAATAACTTAAATTTAATATTGAATATTTTACATGTTAAACATATTTTGCAAGTTATGTTTTTTTTTTATTAATTATGAAAAAAATAAAATTGACTATTGAATTTGTATGATTTATGTTTGTAGTATTGCTTGAATGAAAGAGAGAGATACATAGGAATATTTTTGTGATATATACTATCTATATAATATTTATTACATAATTTTTTTTCAGAGAGATATACAAAGGAATATTTTCGTAATATTCTATCTCTCTCTGTGATGTATACTATCAATCTATAGAGAGATGTAGTGTTTGCTTAAATCAGACACTATCTAATATTTTTGTGATATTTACGTGAGATACAGAGAGAGATACAGAGAAAAATATTGTGAAAAATTAATACATTTTTCATGAATTGAGGGTGAGAGAGATACTAAGGAATGAGAAAGAGATTTGTTTGATTTAAGAAAAAGATTTGGGGGGATATTAATTTTGGAATATCAATTTTGGAAACTAAAAATTTTGAGTAGCAAAAATATTTCAAAAGAGTTAGTGTGTTAGATGTCAATAGCTCAAGATAATTTGGGATAACGTCATCCATTAAAAAAATATTTTTTTTTTGTCACGAAACGATTTAGACAACTCTTTGTTTCTAAAATTCAATTGGTCCAAAGCTACTAATTTTTGTGGGTTGACCCGTGGGTCGTGGGTCAAGCCACAAGTCATGGGTGGTGTATTAGTGTGTGTGTGTTTTTGGTGTGCTAATGTGTGTATGTTTTGGCATATTAGTGTATATGTGTGTATTATTGATGTAATAGTGTATGTGTATTTTTTGGTATATTAATATATTTATTTAATTTTATTACTTGTATTATTTAATAAAAAGATAAATACTGAACTCAATAGGTACCAATTTATAATTTATGTTAATCTGTTTAATTAAAATAAATCATATTATCCAACTCATTTAGAACTCATATTAATTAATATAGATATTCAGTGCTTTTGACCAAACTCTGCCTCCCCACCAATTTTATTCTTAAACCCAATTTATTTTAAACTTATTTCTGAAACTCAGTCAGTTTTCATTTGAAATGATGCCTTCATGAATTAAAATGTCATTTGAGGTTATACTTAGAAATCCACATTCATCACAGCAACTATGTTCTGATTTCTAGAGAGAGAGATCATATTTGACCCACTGTGGCACAACATCTTTAGGTTTTCAAGTATTCAGGGGTCTAACGGAGGAGATGGGTCTTAATTTTTTGATTGACGCTTATAACACAGTGTTGCTCAGGAATGGAGAGGAAACGTCAATTGTAATGACGTTTTTAAAAACGTCATTACAAGTGACATTTTCTACCCAACAATTTTTTTGTAATGACATTTTCTACCCAACAATTTTTTTAACAACTATTCTCTTTATCCTTTTTAATTCACTTTGTTTAATGTCATTCTGAATGACACCTTTAAAGACGTCATTAGAAATGAAAATTTTAATAAAAAAAAATTCAATTTGAAATCGAAGTGACATTTTAACTCATGAAAGCGTCATTCTAAATGACTTTTTTAAAAACATTCTGAATTTGAAAAATAAGTTTAAAATAGGCTAAGTTTGGGAATAAGGTTGGTGGGGTGGCTGTGTTTGGTCAAAAGCTCTAGGTATCTAACTCATTTATTTATGGCGGATTAATGAGTAATAGGTTAAAATTATCATCTGTAACTACTATTAGTGACAATTCAAATAGGCATTTCATATGAAAATACTAGTCATTATCCGTGCCTAAAACACTGTATAAACAAAAAAAAAAATTAACAATTATCTAAATTCAAAAAAAAATGACATAAAAATATTCATACAAATTTTTCTTTTAAAATGGCTCAAAATATATAGTATATCATAATGGAATTGTCATAAAAATATATAAAAACTCCTCATAACAACATATATACAAATGTCTCTAAAAAAAATAAATAAATACTAACATAACCCATTAAAATTTGTAATTTTAAGCAATAAATAAACCAAATA